GTAAAGGAGGTAATTTAGCCATTTAAATCAGCTGTGTTGGATCAGGGACACATCTAAAACCTGCAGGACACCGGCCCTTGAGGCCTGGAGTTCCCCCACCCCTGGTTTACACCATTCTCTAACAAATACATCCCCAGTTCAGTCTCAGAAGGAGACACAAATCCCTTTGCTCTTTGGTTTTTGGATGATATAAAAATGCCAATCCTTTAGTCTCAAACATGCACATCCTGGAATGAAGCTGTTCTGTTTTCAGCCACTGAATGATTGAAAGAAGAACATATATCAGTTAGCCACAAATAAATAAGTCAAATTTTCCATTTGATATCTTTTCCAAGCACACATGAGAAAACACATGACAATATTACTGCTGAAGAATAACTAAATGAGTGTGATAAGAATGAGAACAAACGCCATCAAACATGAATAAATTAAACATAAGAACAGTCAAGGACATGAATCATATTAGTAGAGGATAAAATTTGAAAACTCAAGTTAAAAATACATTGTGAGCATGCAGGTCTAATTCAGTGAGAACGACAGGAAGAGGGAACGGACCAGTAAGAGACCAGCAGCTGGACGTCAGTGGTTGGACTGGTGGACTACTTCACTGAAGAGTAGACGACGTCTGGCTCTGGTTTAAAGTGTGAACACAAACACACACAGTTCAAACAGCATTACAGTTTTCTTTCTGACAGAAATGAGATATTCTGTGCTTAAGTCATGATGTGGTTAGAATAACTCTGTACAAAGGTACAGAGCAGCTGTACCTTTTCTTCTCTGCCCAGCAGTGACATCTTGTGTTGTATCGAGTGCAGCTGGATCATTCTCTGCACAATAAAACAAAGAAATGAATAAAGGGACAAAAACATAACATAACATAACCATACTACTTTTGTTTAGAGATTAATAAGGAATTTTTATAAATAGCAACAACTTTTCAAGCTTTTTCCTTTTAAAAACAAAACAAAAAAACATCCCCTCTGCTGTGAAACTGTGGTTACCACATGAAACTGGGGATGCTTGTGTGAAAAAAGAAAGAAAGCAGATGTCAGTTTCTTTCAGTTCTAACCAAAATTTCTGCACAGGACACAAATGAAACCTGCTCTCAAATACAAAACAATTGTTAGACAAACCAGACAAGACCGTGGTGAGAAATGTCACGACCTCAGAGAACAGTCATCTGGAATCAATAACAGGAAGTTGCTGCTGAGGGTTTTTTAGACAGAATTTTACAGAAGTGGGAAGTTGTTGGTCTTTTAGTCCTTTGTGTATTAGAGAAACAACTGTGTAGGTATATTGTGTGTACCAAACCCAGACACATCTGGGATTAATCTGAGCTGCTTCTAAATTTACTGCTCAGTTATGACACTGGCAGAATTCACAACACATCTGACATCTGGCCTATGTGAGGCAGACCTGTGACTGCTGCAACGTGGGACATATTGATTGGTACAGCTGCTGCGTTAGCTTTGCTCCAACTCACTGACAGGAAAGACAGAGACGGGAAGCACTTCACATTTAAAGGGAAGGACCAAAGGGTGATAACTGTTTTGCAAAAAGGAAATGCAAACAATGTTACCGTAAGAAAATACTTCCAGTTTAGTGAAGCACATAAAGGACTGGCATCCAAAAATAAGTTCAGTAAGTTTCAGTTCACAGTAAAATCCAAAGTATTATCCTTCTCACATTTTCCTAAAATCTCATTATTAGTTTGTTTGAGAGAACCAGAGCTTTTCGAAAGGGTAATTTTTTTTCAATGACTAAAAGACTTAAGTAATTCCACTGGTATTAGTACCACCTACAAAACTCCTTAAGTGGATTTAAAAAACAAAACAAAACAAAAAACAACTCACCTGTTTAAACTGTATTAAAACTTAAAGTTTGCATTCATAGGGGCATGGCCTCTTTGACTTACAGGTGGATGGAGAAACTGTTATTAGCTGTATGCTAGGCTTCACCTCAGCTAATTGGAGTCCTTGATCTCTACACAGTGTTTGTTCTGTTGGTGCCCTTGGGAGCATTTATAATGCCAAATGACAAATAATACGTCTGATGTGCGGTATGATATGTGGTTTGGAGACGGTGGTACTAACAAAAAGACAGATGGCCAAGCTGGAGGTGTTAAACTTTTTGAGTTTTGTTGAGAGAACTAACGTTGAAGCTTCAAAATCAGGCCCAGAAACCTGCGGGTGATGCCATAGTTAATCTGTCTACTGCATATAGTCTATTAAATTAACATGAACGCATAATAATGGAAAATAAAACAAAAAATGGTGACCCACATTAGCATGGTAAGGAGTAGCTGAAACTTTCCATTCCATGCAATAACGTGACTGGTCACTTATTTCCTGTTTAAGCTGCTGATAGGCTCTTTGGAAGAAAGCCCTCTGTGTTCACCTACATAGGTATTCACTCTCTGGCTGAACCTATAATTTATGTTTATTTATTTGTTTGTTTTTTTTAGATTACGTAATTGTAAATGTCTACACTTCCATTAAGTGTTCTAATTTTATGGACCACAACCCAGCCCCCAACCACAAATCTTAATAAAAGAAAATTTACCTCTTTTTGATTTGACTGGTTTTTGCTGACGATTTGATAAAATGACCTCAGTGTAGGTGACTTGGTTTTCTTGGACTTCTTCAGGATTTTCAGCTGAAAAAAAACAACATTTAACCCGAAATTAGTTAGGGGTAAATGAAGAGAATAAGAAATAGAGAAAAGAACATGTGTTTTCATTACTGTGTAACAGCTTGGAGTTACTTCCATTGGGAGTGAGAGTCAATATAAAAACATCTAATCACAATAGCTGTGTAGCTTATTCAGCAGAACTTTATTTATGTAAAATCCAGAAGTCTAGGTCTCACCTTCAGGTTTCCTATGAGCACGCCATCTCAGCAGCAGAACCAGTAACACCAGTAGAACCACAACACAGACTGATCCAACAGACAACAGCACAGTGAGAACAGATGTGGTGTGTTTGTCTAAAA